GTTTTATTTCCTCATACTGTGCTTAGCCAGGCATTATTAGTAAATAAGATCTAGAGCACTTAAAAGAAGGATCCAATCCCAAATTCAATTGGTCCATTAGCTACATGTAATATTATTTACCTAAATGGCCCTTCTGGACCATTTCATAACTCAGGTTTATAACCTTTTCTTAAAAAGATCAACAGTACTGAGCACACAGTGTGTGAACACGATGAAAGAGGCCATTTTCACAGTTATGGGCCATGATTTCCAGACCTGGAGTCCAGATTAGAATTGTAAAATGAGGAAAATACTGTGTCTGAAATACAAAAAGGGAGAAATAGCCACAGAAAGAAGGAAGGAAGGAAGCAGTTAAGCAAGATGTGTTGCAAAGGATCAGTTCTTTTATTGAGTTGATACAACTAGAAAGTGCAGGTGGGTTTTACAGCACATAAACCCTTCTGCAGATCCAACAGAGAAGATGTAGTGACATTTAAAGCCACACAAAGAGTTTTGCCAACATGTGTCAGAGTGAATCTCCAGTGGGAGGGAGCAACCAGCCGCTCTGTGCAGCTTGGCAGATGGGGGGGTTTGCTGTCTGCTCTAATGTGTGATGTGAGTTGGCTGCTCGTACAGAGTCCCATCAAGTGGGAAAGGTAACTCTTTTCTATTGATCTTGTGTTCAAGATCCGTGTTTGATTAGTTCCTCAGGTTGTCAGATGCTCACACCAGCTCAGAGCAGTGAGTTCTGATAGCTAAATTCTATACCAGTACGAGTCTCTGCTGATCTCATTATAGAGGGAACTCAGCCATCAGGAGCAATGGTACTTTTCCACCTCTGAGTCAGCAGCATGAAAAGTCAGATGATGATAAAAGCAAATAAAATCCAGGAAGGTCCTATTTTATAATGAGCCTAGAGACACATAGATATAAACTGGCACTGGCTCATTCCTTTACAGTTATCCCTTTTAATACAGGTCCTTCTGATTGCCATGAGACAGTGGCACGTGGGAGCACGTTGTGCATGTAAGGTGGAGTGGCTCAGCTGCTAGCAGATCCTAAAAAAATTTGTAGTGACAACTCATGGAATTTTTAGTGGCAGAAGGCAGTGCTGTTGAGTGACCTTTGCCTGCCTGTCTTCATTAACCATCTCTCTAACTAATGGCTGCTACTCACTGCTTCTCCCCTGCTCTTCTTTTTCCTTGCCCCCTCCTCACTGCTGCTTGCCCATTGCTCAGGCTGCCCCCCTGGCCTTTGCCTGTGTCACCACATAACTCTCCAGATTCTGCAATTTTCATCATGTTCTCTCTCTAACAAGAGAATGAGAAAAGAAAGGTCATTTTTTCCCTTTCCCCCTTGGTGTTGAAGCGATCACTGGTTCAGCTGGGCATGATACATGAGTGTGATGAGCTGATCATTTGGTACTGAGTTGTGCTAGAGAGTGGGAGACTCGCAGGGGTGCTGAGGACAGTGCAGTATCTTGGAGAGTGCTGACTGCAGATGTCATACAGATGGTGGCAGGTATAAAGCCACTTCTTTATTTTCAGCCAAAGCCATTGTTTCCAACCCTTGACTTAAGTAATGCCATTCCCTTGTGGTTGTAACATCTCCAACTCACAAGTCCAGTCCAAAAGCAGGCAGCAGAAGATTCCAACAAACCTACCTGTGGCAGCTGTGACTCTTCAGAGTGAAAGCCCTGTTGGTGTGCGGGGTAGATAGGTCTGAAGTGAGTGGTGAAAGATGCAGAGAAATTTTTGCAGTGATAGAAAAAACATTTTAAGTCATTAGATAAAGTAATGTGGCCAAAAACCTTCCTTTTCCAAGCCAGACAAGCTGTTTCTGCCAGGTATGGCTGCTTTTTAGGGGCTAAAACTCTGATTTCTGTGTCAGGCAACACAGAAGTGGTGTCAGGCTGAAATGGCTTGGAGATTTAGATTTATAGTTCAGGGAGAAGGACATCCCAGTTGGAGAGTGGTGATAGAGTCCAAATTGAGCGTGAAGTCCTCTTCCTGTATCTTTTGTAGTTTATTATGTTTATTATAGTTCTCTTGTTTCTCTATACCTGTTTGTGCTGCAGGTATCACCATTGCATTAGCCAGTCATTGAATATTGTCTGAGGTGTCTCCAATCAAGCATAGACTGGAAATACTTTCTTTGCCCCAAATATTAACTCAAGTAGCAGAAAATGCCTCTCTGTGAAGATAATTCATATGGAAAACATACATTTTCAGGCTGTCTGCACAGATTCCAAAATTTTAATGTTTCTATTTTTGCTACCTTTTAAGAACATCATTGCTGCTTCTCTCTGGGCAGCACCTATGTATTGCCTACCCCTTCTCTTCCCTGGATTTCTTCAATATTTTTGTCATTTTTTAACTGTTAAGCCAGACACATGACCAGTCTGGGACAAACAAGTGGTCTAGGGTCTACCAACATTGTCTGCTTCACCAAGAGATGCTACCTCTGGGAGACTGGTGATATTGAGAAGCAACAGCTAGAGCAGGGATCCTTGTGCTTGTTCATTCCATCCACAGGTTTGACTCATGCTCTCATAGACAATCCCGAAGGAGAACGACATCAGGTTTGGAAGATTCATCTGTAATTGTGCTGGATGTCTGGCTGAGGGGCAGCTCAACAGCAAAAGGTTTTGCTGAAATCTTCCATGTAATCCAGGCAGGGTGTTTTGGGTTTTGGGGTTTTTTTGATACTGCATGCTCTCATTTACAAACCCAGTCAGCAGCACGTGTTTGTTAGGCTATGCAGTGTTGGCATGTGAAGAATTCAGGAAAATCATTCAGGAAAATCAATCATCAGTCTTTCCTGTTTAGTTTCATTGCAGCTTCTTATGTGCTTGAAGTATTTACAAAATGCTTTCTTGGACTGGGGTTGTACTGGGAGATGAGATTCCACTGAGGAGTTAAGATATCTGAAGCTTTCTTTTCTTTCTACAAAACTGTTGGAAAGGAAAGGGATTCAGTTCTGACATGATGTTTCATAAGGTGACATTTGTTATAACTCATTGCAAATGTTACTCACCATCTACAAAGTGTTCAATTAAACTGAAGAGCAGTGAAAAATTCCACTTAAGTAGCTGCACTTATTACCAGAATCCCTCAGCTTTTTTGGAGCCAACATATTCCCCCTGGAGACTTCTACACAGTGACTGCTGTCCCCTGTGACCAGTCCTGCTGATTGGTGTTCCCTGCTCCCATCAGCCAGATTGTCACACTTGGACAAAATTTCCCTTCCCCTTTGGGTTTATCCTGACTTTCCCAAAGATCTCTTTGGTCATTAGTTGTTAGCAGACCTGTGCTTCATCCTTTTGTGTCCTGTTAATATCTCAGTGGGAATTAGCTGGACCCCTCATAAATAACATTTTCAAAAACAAAATTTGAAAGTGACCTGTGATCCTCGATCCTTTTGAAAATCAGAGTCATTGGTTATTGAAACTTGAAGCTTCTGAGTCACTGCGATTGTTCCTTAGTTCTAAAAGCTTTAGTGGCATAATGTTTCCATAGAAAATAAGCCAATATATTTATAGTTTCTATTCAGATTATAGTCCTTCTGCCTCAAATGCCTTTGTGTGTGTCTTGAGATTGAAACGTTGGATTCTATGATTCCCTATGTGTGAGCAATATGGGAGTAACTCTGGATATGTAACAAACAAACTTTTCTTGCACTTGTAGGAAACTGGGATACTGAGTGAGCACATTTTCTGAGATGCCAAACTGGCTGTTACAGATCTCTGGCTCCCCAGGAAGTTCGCAGATGCAGCTTTGCTGTGTGCTACAGCCACCCACTCTTTTGCAGTGTCAGCTGGGCTGGAGCTCAGATCCACCCACTCCCACCCTACCAGGCCCATTACTCTGGAGCTGAAGGCAAAATGCAAATGTATGTGCTCTGTGGAACACGACTTCCCTACAGCAGGAGGGGATGGAAACGAGAACCCATGGCCTTGCGCTCCCAATTCCCCATCAGAACCACAGGAACCTCCCTTTTTCCCTGGGTAGGGCACTCAAATGGAACAAAACTCTGGCTAATTTGCTGCAGGAAGCCACTGAGCTTTGTGCAAGGAGATAGAACAAGCAGTCCAATTAGTTACAGCTGCTGGTGTCCCCTGGTCCTGACTTGGTGTCGTTTATCAGTGCCCAACAGAGGTAGACAAGCCCAGTTCCTTTTTTCCTTACCTGTGAATACCTGTCGAGCCCATGTTTCCTATTACTCCAGTCACCTGTTAGGCTCTTAAGGAACCATAATTCATTCAGTTTGCTGCACTTGTTCCAGGGCACAATTTACTTCTTGTTTTCCTAGACCTAAAAACAACATCACAGCCTTTGGAGAGCAAGGGTGGGGGCTTTCTACATCAGCCTGTCTTTAGGTCCTATTTATAAATGAGGAGAGTGAGAAAATATGTTTAAAAACATTCAAGCTTTAAAAATAAAACTGCGACCTAGTCAAAGAGTAAACATTAAGGAAAAATAAAGACCTATTTTAAGAGATGGAAGCAGAGAAGAAGCAGCAAAAATATTCAAAATGAATCTATTACTGTAAATAGGAGGGCGTAAACCAGCATCTTCTATCACTGACAGTTCAGAGATGCTGAGGACCTGCACCATCAGTGAAAAAGGAGGAACTGAAAAAAATATTGAGTGGGAAATAAAGCAAAGATGAGAAATCCACCTATTTGCACATGTGATAGGTTATCCATAAACAAGATCGTGCTTCCGACCAGATAAAAGAAATCAATGGCATAGTGTTTAAGTGAGATTAAAAAATACAGTGAGCGTCTGTCATTCCACATTCCTCTCCTGAGCAGTGGTGTCACCTTTATGCTTTCAGAAAGCCCTTTAATGTGGGGTTGCTCAGGGGGTGTTGTGGTCACCATGTTGAGAATAAAACGTCTTAAAAAGGGATCAGAAGCTTTTACTGTGATGGACCTTTGGAAGTTTGTCCCCTCTGTGTCTGTTTTGTCACTTATATGCGGTTCTTCTCCCGCACAGGTTGCCCAGTCACTATGAACAATGGCCCAGCTATACTACAAAAAGGTAAATTACTCACCATACAGAGACCGGATCCCGCTACAGATCGTGCGGGCAGAGGCAGAGCTGTCGGCGGAGGAGAAAGCCTACCTCAGTGCTGTGGAGAAGGGGGACTACGCCAGCGTGAAACATGCCCTGCAAGAGGCAGAGATCTACTACAACATCAACATCAACTGTATGGATCCTCTCGGTCGCAGTGCCCTTTTAATAGCCATAGAGAATGAAAACCTGGAGATCATGGAGCTGCTGCTGAGCCACAGCGTGTACGTGGGCGACGCGCTGCTCTACGCGATACGCAAGGAGGTGGTGGGAGCTGTGGAGCTGCTGCTGAACTACAGGAAGCCAAGCGGGGAAAAGCAGGTTAGTTTGGTGTTCCTGTTCAGTTTTAAGCTATTATCCTGCACAGAGAGGTGCAGTGCAGCACTCGTAAAGCGCAGCCCTTGGTGCAGGTCCGTTGCTTTAAGTGCCCAGAGCAGACGTGTGCAGTCCGGTTTGGATGCGTATTTTCCAGTCTGAACAAACATTTTCTGTGTGACTTAAACACTCAGCATTTTCTGTTTCACTCAGTGTTCTTTCCAGCCCTACAGTGTTTGTGGACATACTGGTTTACAGGTTGATTTATAGATGAGTACTTTCTAAAGGAATTTGTGGCTTTCTGAAATTACATTACAATCCGTAAATGTGAACTATTGCCATGCTGTTGTACTGATATTAAGTGGAATTGCTTTTCATAAGTAAATTCTGAAAGCACACATGCTTATAAATGACTAAAAGCAAGCAAAAGTCTGCTAGGTTTCTGTCCTTTGCTGTAGTGCAGACATAGCATCTTGGTCTCCCTCTCCAGGGAGCTCTAGGGAAGAAATTCTGAGGCAGAACATAACGTTATAGCAAGAGCTAAGCTGCTGTATAGCTGAGCAATGAACAACTGTGACTTGTAGGGAGGATCCTTAGCTACAAAGCCATTCCTAAGTGACATAAGGATCTTTGTGAAAATCCTGTCACTTCAAGTGTGACATATCACACTACCCCAGCTGTGTTTTCTGGTTTTCTTCTTGTCGTTTGTAAATATTCCTGCCAATAATTGGAATAAGTTAAGTACCTTACTGACCACTGACAATTTTTTGCATATTCACTGCTTTAGAAAGGAACATCCAAAACTTGGGTAATCCTTATATATCGAGTCTCCTTTTGTAGGCAACACATCCCCCTGTGTGTGAAGGAAGAAAATTATTAATGCCAGTCAATCATAGAAGAAAACATTTTCAATGGATAGGCCCCTTAGTACATAGTTTTTCAATAGTCATTTTGTGTAGCCAAAGCAAACAATAAGGATCAACCCTGACAGCATTCAAGAGTGCTCAGCTTAACATTTAGAAAAGCAGCATTCTGCATGCTGTAGCAATGTGATTCTAATGTGTGATTTAAAAACTAATCTCTTCTATCAGACCCAGAAATTGAAATGATAGTACTGGGTTTTAGTCCGACAAAATATAAGTAGCAAAATATGGACCACACATGGAGAATGAGCCATTTTTAACTTAGTCTTCTAGCAATTCGAGCATCCTACACCTCAACAGAAAGCAGAAGTTTTTTTCAGTGGCAATGAGGAACTGCCAGTAATTATTGCAGGTTAACGACAAGTTTCTCCTGAAATATCATGGAAAGCAAGCGATAGGATTCCTGTGGATTTCTGTGACATCTCTTGCATAGCAAAACTTGTGTTCACTCAAATTCATAGCCTTGCTGGGTTAACTGGGAAGAGATAAAGGTCCACGAAATAAGGTTGATTTATTGCAGCTGAAATTCAGCTCCAGTGTCTCTAGTTCAGTGATCCATTTCATGGTAGGTCTGTTTAATTTTTTGTTATCTCTGTGCCAGCGTGCAGCTCTCCTTCTGTAGCTAGGATTGTATCTGCTGCAGGGTTTACAACTTGGAGGAGAACACATGTGGGGGAGAAAGAGATGCAGTGCCAGTTTCAGCTTTATTTACAAGGTTCGTTACAAGTCCAGATTTCATCGATATATTTTAAACTAGTACTGGCTTGATGCAAGATTCCATGTACAAACTAGGATTGACTTCCCTGGCTGGGTTTCAGGCTCTTCTGTAGACTGCAGGAAGTGTTTGGTGGTAGGGGGCTGCAGGACTGGACTTCCATTTCAGCAGTTTCACTGATCGTTCATGCAATGATGGTAATTAACATTTATTTCATGTATAGTGGTATAACATTAGAGAGAAGTGCTTAGTTAAGTGAAGTTGGGAAAAAGTTGGTTAGCTTGTCAAATCACAAAGCTAGTATAGGGACACAAGTTCCTGATGCTAATTCCACAGCAGTATCAATATGCATTCATTAATTATCTTCGCTGGACCCTTTCTCATAAAGTCCTTTAGGAATCCCATGCCTAACTACTTTCACAAAAAGCACCTGATAAATCAGAGTAGCACAGCTTTGTTCTCATCAGCTACTTACATGTTCTAAACATGGGGATTTTGTTGAGTAGTAACAAAAATTCACACTTGGTGGAAGGGTTTCTGTCTGGCTGAGAAATTTGTAAGATGGTGTCACAGCACTTCTTATATATCAGGTTTAGTATAATCTATTCATTAAATGTACACAGGGTTCAGTCTCACCAAACAAACCTGAGTGAAAGCAGCTTCTCGGACCACATGTGACAGCTCGTTTCCCATCAGGGGCTGGTTGTCTTTGCTGCAAAGGTGCAGAAGCAGCATCTTCTAATTACTCTGTCTTAAATGTTCATTCATCTGAGTCTGGTGTCTGCAAAAACCTGTTCATTCCATTCTCCTGCTGTCTGCTTCTGAGCTGTTATTTGCCTCTCTCCCAAAGTCTGGTTTCTCTGACTGCCAGGCACGAAGAGCTATTTGAGTCTGTTCACATCAGCTCAGGTGATTGTTGTCTTTGCATCTCGAAAGCAGCTGAGTAGCATCATTCAGCATAATCCATTTCATGGCTGTGTGTCTTCTCTCACTCCCACAGCCTTATCCTTGGTACCACAGTCCTGATGGGAAAGTGTTACAGGTTGTGTTATTCCAGCCTCATGTGGGGTCACCGTGACTGTATCTAGTTTGCAAAAGATATGCCCAAAATGAGGTCAAAAACCATGGCCCTTTGACCTGCAAAGCTGTGGGTTCTCTCACCAGCCACAGTCTCTGCAAGCTGAAATGTCCTGGATGCTCCATACCTGTCTCTTCCCCTGAGGGGAAGAGTTCTGCTTTTCCCCATGTGATGACCTTTTCAGGGAGCAGAAGTAAAAAACCTTTCAAATATAAGAAGTGATCTTTGTTGTGCTCCTTATGTAAGAGAATCAGGGTCTCATTGATGACGTGAGGGACAGGGAGAAAGGGATGAAGAGGTTGGATGGCAGAGGTGCCTGGATCTGTTATTCAGAGAATTTTTATGAATCATTATTCCACAAACCTCTGCTAGACTGCTGTTTAAGCACCATTTACTGAAAATGCCATGAGAATGGCAGGGGTAAGTCATAGCCAGTAACTATAACAACACAGCTCCCTCACTGCAGTGTGAGGGGTGTCTCAGGAGACGAGGAGATTACTCTGTTTACATGTGGAGTGTGTGAGAGCCGGGAACATGAACCTCCTCCCTCCAAAGGCTGCTGCAGAGCACATGATAGATTAGTGTGCTCAGCAGTGATGTGCTACAGTAGATGTATTTCCTTTCAGGTTTATCTCCAAGCAAGACTCATAGGCTATTTTAAGAACTTCAAATTTCTTCTCAAATCCATTCTGTCCACTCTGGACAACTTATGGCCACGGTTTTGTGTACTGCACTGAGTCTCCTGATAAAGATGAGGAGAAGACTTTACCATTTACAGCCAGAATAATGGCTAATACATTTACTGCTGAAAGACACTGTTGGCTATGGGTGATTTTGGGGTCAATGAGAGAGTCGTCATGGTGCAAACACCTTAGTTTTGCTACCATGGGAAGCAAATGTGCTGATGTGCTTCACTCCCAGCAAAGAGTAAAGCCCAGGCTTTAAATGACCCCTCCTTTTCTTCAAATTGGAACTATTGGAACTCTTCAAACATACCACACCAGACTCTGGGGTGGACTCTCACGTTTTCCTTTGTGTCTGTGTGCAAGTGTGGTCCTGAGTGGGTGGAAGGTGCCTGTGAGCAGAAGTTGGGGTGCTGAGGCTGCCACAGCCCTGCCCATCCACCACAGCACAGATGGGAGCTTTTGTGGCCTTGGCAGGATGTGGTCTGGACATGGCATAACGCTAAGACAAGTTCTCAGGGAAATAAAGGAAATTCAATTATCTCCTCAAAATAGATTTAGTAACAAAAGAGCTTTTCTAGTTCTGTGATTTTTACAAGTTCACTTGTTATTTCCAAATGTTACGTAATTTACTCCAGTTAATCCTCCAAGCTTTTTTTTTAAACCATAGTTCACTTTGACCAGTCACTTTGTGTTGCTAACTGGTCACTTAAGTCATAGGGTAGTTTGTTTTTCCCCAAATAGAGGATAGACATTGGGAAATCAAGCAACATATTCATCAATATTAAGAGGAACAACAGAATAAACTAATTTTCACGGAACCTAGAGGGTATGCAAGTGTTGCTCTTCCTGCAGGGATCTGTAGTATTTCCTAGGAAATAAAAGTGAGCCTAATCTGGTGCAATAGTTATTGTTTGATTTTCTGGACAGTTGAGAGGCTGAGGTTGTACTGCATAGCAGCAGAGGAGTAATATATGTGTACTTGGCATGGCAATCCACACTCAGTGGTGAGTGGCATGTTATTTTTAAATAAGAAAACAAATCACTGAATAACCACCAGAAAGAGTGGTAGATAGAAATAGCAAAATTCAGCATGTGCAGATGCAGTACTGACTTTGGCCCAGGCTTAGTGAGTCAGGTGGCTCATGTGTTTGGGGGTTGGAAGTTAAAATACAAGTAGCCTCTGCATGGGACAGGTCCAATACATACAATGGCAAAACAAGACCTTAATGCTATTCTGTAGGTACATGTGGAAAACAGATATCTGGCTGGGGTCCTATGGGGTTGGAATTAACAGGGAACTTAAAATTACTTCTTTTTCTTTTTTTTTTATTCAGTACTACCATGGGAGCAAGGGAATGTATATATGAAGCCTGTTGAATGAATTTGCCTTTCCAGTAAAATCTTGTGTCTCTCAAACTATTTGACCTTTGAGTTTTGCTGCATTTTTTTTTCTAAAAGTCCTCTTAGATATTCTTTTTACTACACAAACATCAATACAGTGGGTTATGTTTTCAGCCAGGCTGGATTCTGCACCTAAGCTGCACTTAAACGGCATCTAATTTCCAGCAAAGAGCAGGAAATGCATGTCCAGAGATTCACATTCT